GTTCTTTTGGGGCGAGAATTTGAATCTGCTCTTATAAGTGGTTGGATAAAACTATCCTCAATTTCTTCTGCTGCACCAAGCAGCATTGCTTCTACTTCGCACTAGTATTTATCGGTGCAAGCATTTGAAAACCTCTTGAAGATTGACATGTTCGAAATATTCCTAGTATTAGGGAAAACACAGTAATATTTCAATTCCTTCTGCTTGTATGCAAATCTGGGAGTTTCGATATGTTATCTTCTCGAGAGGTACATTCATAGAGACAGACATGTTTGACACATGTCATCGACTCCTCTACCATATAGTATTTTTCAGGACAACCTGGCCAACCTGCTGTCCAAAATACCTGTGAGCGTAGCCTTAAAGAAGACGTCTGTTAGTATCGATGAAGGAGATACGATGAAGGAACTCACTCGTAGGGTGTAGGTCGTTGCTGTAGAAATAGAAGATCAAAATGATAAAGACCATGGGCCAAATATACAAAGAACCTACAACCAGAAGGCACCAGAGTTCGATCCGATAGTAGAGTTATCGATGAAGCCATAATCGGATGGATCATCGAGGATAGCCGAGAATTGAGCATGGGAATCCCAGAAGTATGTCGTCACCTGTGAAATACTTTTGAGATCAGAACTGTTCATAAGGGTATTCTGGGACATACTCCGGTGTTGTTCGCCTTGAAACTGGCGGACTTTGTTATCAATTTACCGTTAAACCCAGCGATTACGCTTGCCAACAGTGATGTGGCGCCGATACCTTGCGCGGTCATCTGATAAATGATTTTCAGGGAGGAAGCAGGAACTAAATATTAAATGAATCTACCAAAGGAGAACGATCAGTGGGGGGAACGTTTACGAAGAGGAAGTTCCTGGCTCCGACATTGCTGTAGAAGTGGAATCAGATTTCAAATCGTTCATGTCGTTCCAGGCCGTACTACTAAAAAAGAGGTGTCAAAACATAGTGAAAAAAAGCATTACATGATAACGACATACGAGCTTCTGAACCTGAGCGAACAAGACATCCAAGAGCTTATCAGAAAACCTGTGCAGAAGGATATACCAACTTCGCAACAGAACAGAAAAGCAGCCACATACGCATCACGGTCGCCGTCCAAGTAGTAGCTATTACCGAGATCGTTGATGCCAATCCAAATCGAGAATAGCGAGTTGACACTAGTCCAGGGGGTAGCCATAGGTTTGGTCCCAGCACTGCTCAGGAATTGGTTGACCTGATCCGTGACAGACAGAACGGTGGGAGTATAGGGCGGAACGAGAGTGGCGTCAATGGTAGCACCTCCGTAAGCGTAGTTGTATGTGAAGAGAAGGGAGTTGTTGTATTTTGTGGTTATGTAATCCACCCAGTTCTCGCCACCAGACGAGGTCCACCCAGGATAGGTCGGATTGCCCAGAGGGTTTCCAACGGAAGGAAGGGTGAGCATGGGGTCGAAGCCAGTTTGGGTGTAAGAATCGCCACTAATTTTTGAGGAATATTACTGAAGGGCTGGCCAAGGGAGAAGTGGGAAGACTCACAAGCTGAACCAGTAATTTGCGTTGATGGCGGATATGGAAAAGGACGTGCTTGTGGTAGTAGTCCCTGTTCCAGGAAGGCACTGGTAATACGCTGTAGGAAACACGTAAGCGAAATTATCGAGACAGGCTACTCCACTGACAATCGTTTATGGATTTACAAACAGACCTTGACAGACTGAGTCACAGATGGTCAGATGGACCAGGGGATAGAGACACGAACCCTGCAACACAAGTAGTCGGTCCTATCCACCTTCTTCCACCGCCTGGATAGTGGATTTAGTAAAACATTGGTGAGGAAAGATTTCTAGAAAAACTTGCATTGACCGTAAAGAGGCGATTGAGCGAGAGCAGTAGAGGCACAAACTACAAGGGAGACAAATTGAATGGAGAGCTTCATCACTGGAGAGATACGTGAAGTGTTACCTGCAGTCTCGTCTGGATGGTGGTGATTCTTTTAAAGAGTAGGAACAGCAGCAGTTCATGATTGTATGAACGCGGGATAGAAGCCGTTGGTGAGACTTAGGATCAAATATTGTTGACCATTTATGGTCAACGAACGTGTTCAGGGACACTTTTGGATATGCTGAGAAAGAACGCCTGATTTGGCCAGGTAGTGAAAGAGGGCATACATGGCGTGCACAATCGTATACTTCGTAAGGGTCGTCAGGCCAAGCACGCGATAATGCAATGAAGGCATATTAACTTAGTCCATTGGAAGTATATATCCGTGCACTCAGCAGAGCTGTAAGGATTTTTCTTGAGAAATTTGGCGTAGATCAGATGGCATGATCGTTTTAGTGAATCGTGGTGCAAGGGGAGTGGTCGAGATCTTGTCTTCCTCAGGGATCTTGGTGATTGTGGGAATTGAGAAATAGAGTTGCAGCTTCCCCCAGTGTCTGCGTGAAACGGTCATTTTCGTGAAAGTCTACCTCGTTCCACTTTTTTATCTCGAGTCATGATCTACCTCTACCGATACCATTGTACGCAAATACGCTACTGAGCAAAAGCTTGAGGATATCTTATCGGCATTGGTTCATTAAGGGCCGCTCCTTTCGCCGTTCTCTCTGTCCGAGCCCGTATTACCTGAAAGTACGTGTCAGGAGAGAAGTGATGCGACAAAATAATGACATGTGCTACAGCTGTGTTGAGGACTCCTAGCAATTATTCGTCGAAGAATCTGAAGAGGACGACCGCGAAGTCGACAAGAAGGATTGCTGAGAGAACAAGTGGCGAATGAGGTTCGAACATGGTAAAATAGCAGGAAACGTACACCTTCGTGGATAGCAATGGTTGCTGATGGCGCAGGTACCCGTCTCAGGCGACGGGGAAATAGTCTTGGAGATAGTCGTGAACGGAATACACCATAAGCCACGACAAACATCTTTGACGGTTCCATATGCGAGAATATCTGTGAGGGTGCCAAACGGGGAGGGAACAGAGAAAAGGGCCAAGATCCTGTATGATCGTGCCAGAGGACTGATCTGCTGCTGCCAAGAAGACTACGACAACTCGCTCCGATCTAAGAGGACGACGGGTATACCAGGTATACCAGGACAAACCGCTACTATGCAATAGGAAGGAATCGAGCCCCTCCAAGTGTCTCCAATCCTTCTAAGCTCCCTCTCCTTCGTGGACGCCATGTCACGATTCTCTTAGGGTTACGCCCACCCACTCGCAGAGTTATCGTGTGAAGGATGGATCAGAATATCACAAAGATGACGATCGTGGCCATAACTGGTATAACGAGGAAAGCGATGGGCTTGCACAACGTCGCGGGGGAGGACGGAACGAGACGAGACGTGATATAGGAATAGATATGGAGGGGTCGTCGATCTTCTTAAATTGCCATCCACCTCCAGCCACCCGGGTAACGCTGTGCGACGAACTGAAAGAATCTTTTTCGGTAGGACTTGGGGGTAGAATAACGAGAGTGGATTAAGGCTCGATAATGTCAACGTGGAAACGTCATCGAGGGGGCGGATGCCACAGAGTAGTGGGGTAGTGTCGAGGAACTCGAACATTAGTGTGGAAATTACGGGCGGACAGTAGAGACGAAGGGTGTTGTGTGACCAGGCGACATCTTACACGGTTCCCATGGCCAGAAGGGTGTTGCAGATGAGAAGCGCAAAATTTACTTCGGTCGCAACCCAAGCACAACTCAACAGAGCCTTTGGACCCTCTTAACCTCTGGATGTCAGAGTTCCCGGAAGCTTGTGTGCATCTATGAAGTTGGGGTCGATGTTTTATGATGGCGGAGAGCCAGACCGATTGTACCGAGACACACCATGTTCTGTAAAATTGTTCAGCCATCGGATTAAGGCGTGTCGATTTCAACAGAAGACCCACCTTGGTCAGTGACGCCTAACCGGTACCTCTGAACTGCGAAGCAGTCATTCAGGTGATACATCGACAAGATCACGCAAGCGAGCCAAGCCAGGTTGCATTTATGGTACCCGACCAATGGACCGAGCCTGGAGCGCAGTGTTTTGTTGAGGTAGTAGGAGGCAGGCGTCCTGTGAAAACCGTTAAATCACCCGCCAGGGCGCATCCATTCGTCAAAGGACACATATGTGTTCCCAGCCGAGCAATAGGGCCAAGGAGATGAACTGGAATTGGCTGAGGTATACAACATCGAAATAAAAAATAAGGGACTGATAAGATCTTGATAAGATCCTGATAAGATCGGTTTTGAGATCTCATTGTTTTGCAAGGGCTGCGCGTCTGCTGGCCAACTCCACCTCAAACATACACCGGCGCAAAGGTGCTCTATTTCATGTACATGCATAGAATGACAGGTATCTCTCATGATATAAGTATTGCCATCCTCAAGACAGGATGTTTCTCTGAACATAGCTTCTATTTCTACTTGCTTTCAACATTGATCCCTCCCTTACTATAGCTCTGCTGGTGAGGAAGCTTCTAATTCATAACGCGTCGAGCACGTAATTCTCATCAGAAATGAACGGTTCTGACATGTTTTTCTGCTCTCTAAAAGACGGACATACGTCGGTTGACCTTACAACCCAGCATCAGACGACATGATTTCTGATGTTGGCCTTTTGTTCTGTTCCAGACCATTCAGACCTTGGGACTTCCGTTTCACCGACTTGGGTATACCCTAATGATTAACTGGGAGTTCTGTCATCCATTTTTATTATAACCTCACAATATAGCGTAGCACTGCTGACATCCCTCAAAGTCAGTAAATTACTGACTGACACTCGAAGACGGACGCGCACAATTTACGGACAATGCAAGGCACCCTGTCTTACTCGAAGTCCATTCTCTTTTTAGCAGTACCAGCAAACGTCCAACATTGCCGCGTCTCATGTACTATCATTGTTGTTTTACATTCGTGGAGACTTGGCTTCCATCTCCCATACCCGATGAATGTCTTCTCGACAATTCTTGGAGAATTCCCAACATTTCTTCTCCTCGCGATATAATTTTTTGTCAGGCCAATTAGATGAATCGGGTATGGTGTAACGGCTAACATTGCCGCCTTTCATCAGTTCGAGTAGCATGAAACTCCGCGGCAGCTCGGGGTTCGATTCCCCGTACCCGAAATTCAGTGTGACCTCGCGGTCGCATTTTTGTGTGCCGTACTCTATCATCTTATATACGCTTAGGCTGACAGGTAGGATGACATGCATGTCTGGTTTGACAACAACCAAGGTAAAAGCCATACAGTGTTGACGTACCCTCACGAACACCTCTTTGGCTATTCTCTCGTTCCATCCTGCCATACCAGACCATCCTTTTCATTTGACTGGAATTGTACTAGGCTGAACTTTGAAGGTCCTACACAATTTTCATTGACTTCTGAGACTGTAGACTGTAAGGTAAGCCTGAGATTACCCTAATAGCCTCTGCCAGATAGGCAAACATGCTACAATTTTCCTTAATCTTATGGAATGTCCTTTGATAATTTGGGGTTTGATTCCCCTTGTGTAAATACAGTTCCATTACAGTTATTTCAATCTTTTGGATGGATCAAGAACCTTGCAGGTCTTGGGGAGGCTAAGAATTGTGGTTGAGGGTGAGTGATGATTGATCTTTCAGCCTCATCAGCTCATTTAACTTTCCTGTCAAAACTGTATTCTTTATTTCCACCTGTGGAAGAAGGAATACAAACCATTGACTGAACTCCCTAAGTCAGTCTACTCTGCACTTTTTCTATGAGCATCTTCAGTGCTCATCCTTATACATTGATACCCATCCAAATAAGTATATACTTATCACAAATGTCATTATCATCTAACAATCTAGAATAATTGCATAGCTCCAGAACAACGATCATATAAGTTGAATGGAAATCTGGAGAGGTTAGAAGCAAAAGGGGAGAGCAAAGGAGAAAGACTCACTCTTCTAAAATCTCCACAAAACATGCTTGGGTTGAGCATCATGAAGCAAAACAGATGAATATGTTTAATGTATACAGCCTGTTTATTGAAATCTGTCAAAACAACAACCCCTTCTATACCCAATACCCTCTGAAAACCAATACTTTTTGGTTTCCACGGAGGGGCCATCGGTTATGAGAGGTTTGATTCTGTCGAAAATGATTTCCGGTGCCTGATCCGTCCCTCCGTCCGGTTCCGTGATCCAAGGCTTCTTGGTCATGAATAACTTGATTATCCTTGTCTTGTAAGTCAATGCCTGTCGTGTTCTTTCCCACCTCATGAGCATTTTGTTGTAAGTAAACACCGTCCAACGTAGGGTGTTAGTGTTAACTTCGGTTGTCTTCTACCTTGCCACGTTACTGATGTGTACTGTCCTTTTCTGCAACAACTTCGCTTTCTAATTTCATTCTGGCGGGTCTAGAGGGTTTGTAAGCGTTTATAAAGGTAAGTAACGTGCTGCACCTCACGAATATCTTGAGAAGTCATAGATATTATTTATCAGTCGGCACTCTCATAGCGACCAGAACGGTGCTTCACTGCAGGAAAAGTGGGGCATCCTATTGTGTCGATATTCTCGGGTAGCCGACATGGTGCCTCGCCAAACTCAACTCAAAATGTACTTGTGACAGGGGTCATCAGCTGACCACTTCTTCGAGAGGAGTGGAAACGACTCCTGTCAAATCGTCCCGGATTCTCGTGATGATAAGCGTGGAGATGAGATCTGAAGCGGGCGGCCGTGATGGCCCGCCTATATATAGCAACAAACGAGAACGCACAAGTGCGAATTTGGCTTTCCCCACCATGGCGCCCTATTTCCTGAGAAATCTCGTCCCGCGCAGAGAGCAACGCGCCGAAGCACGTCCGTTGCTTGAAGTACTACTCAGCCTGACTTGGGTGCAATGGGCTCTGTTTTGGTCAGGGTACGTCGTCCAAGCCCATTCTACCCCGAATTTGGGACCTGCCTTGGCTCATCCTGGTGGCTTCGTGCAGGTGGCTCGCGTGGACTTGCGATGGGATTGACTTCTTTAGTGTGTCTCTCAGCGTATCACAGCTACAGGTCCAGTTCAACAAGTCTACCCATACGATTGTCCGTAGTTCCTCATTCACTCTTCCGATCGTATGAGCCTAAGTTTCGCATTTTAGACCACCGCTATAACCTTGACACTATTGTTTCGATCTGTTGGCGCTGTACGTTTCCATATCCTTCGCAATTCTTGGTTGATGCTGAGAGATTTATGTTAGGTCATCTTTGGTATTCTGTCCGACCGATTTGGCAGGAAATGGCCTTTGGTTGCTAATTTGATCCTCATCGCGATCTTGCAACTTGGCGGTGGGTTCGTCAACACCTTCAGTCAGTTCTTGGCATGTCGATCGCTTTTCGGCATCGGAATGGGTGGGATATGGGGTTTGGCGGCATCGACTGCTCTCGAGAATTTGCCGGTGGAAGCTCGTGGCCTTGCCAGTGGAGTATTACAACAGGGATACGCTGTCGGTTACCTGCTCGCCGCTTGCATCAACCTGAAACTAGTGCCTGAAACCGCGGCGAAATGGCGTAGCCTTTTCTGGACTGGTGCTGGTATTTCGCTTTTCACCGGGCTTATCAGGGTTTTCCTCCCCGAAAGCGAGGTATTTTTGCGCGCAAAGGCCATCGAGAAAGCGAAGGGCACCTCTACTGGAAAGAAGACGAGAGTATTCATAAAGGAGTCTGGGGAGATGCTGAAGCGTCACTGGATTCTGTGTATCTACGCTATTCTGCTGATGACAGGTACGTCCTCTGTCCTCTCCCTTGTGTAAATTAGCAATTCAGCTAATTATGCTATGCGTATAGGCTTCAATTTCCTCTCTCACGGCTCCCAAGTACGTGTTCTGCGACCCCACGTTTCGTCGTCTAAATCACTTCTATTTCCTACCGTAGGATCTCTATCCCACGTACCTTCAACAATCTAAGAACTTCACACCACACGATGCTAGTGTGGCTACAATCATTGGAAACTGCGTATGTGGTACTCCGTCTCCGTTTCATGCTACTTCTCTGATATCAATTGGCAGGGAGCCGTTGCGTAAGTGTAATCCTCACTCATCTGAGTCAACTCTAGTGGTTGATGTTGTGGGCGCAGGGGGGGATTAGTTGCGGGATATGTAAGCCAGTATATCGGGCGACGTTTGACTATTATGTGCGTTCAATGTTCTTATTGCTCTTTTTAACTTGCGCTGAGGCTTTGAACGTAGTATTTTTGTATGCATCGTCGGTGGTAAGTTCCCATTGCACCGTATAACTCCTGTCATCTCATAAACTCCCACCCAATCTAGCCTTCATTCCCCTTTGGATCCTCCCAAGCTCCTTTAGTGCACTCGCTGCAGGCGCCTTCTGTATTCAATTCGGGGTTCAAGGCGCTTGGGGTGTCGTACGTTTTCCTGAAGTTTAACATCCCCTCATCTATCTGACTTCAATAGGTTCCCATCCAGCTCGCAGAGATGTCTCCACCCGCGTTTCGGGCGACATTCCCTGGAGTCGCGTACCAACTGGGTAATGTACGTATCCGCCCTCTTATCTTTCACCCCATCGTCCCTACTGGTACTGATCGACCTCCGTTTGCTCGTTGCAGATGGTTTCGTCCGCAGCATCTCAAATCGAAGCCAGTGCGTGCTTCTTGGGGTTTGCCCACACTTATATGGGCATTCGAGTTGACCTTTCGACTGACTTTTTTTCTTTTATTAGCTGGTGGAGATAATTTGAGGACAACGATCATCGTTAATGGTGTACCGAAGGACGTTCCCGATTATGCAACAGTAAGCTGGCTATCTTTAACCTCGATAATCGCTAAACTCTCGACAGGTACAAGGCATTTTGATCGGTGTCGTCGCGGCATTCATGATTTTCATTACCATTATTGGACCGGAGTGCGTCTTTTTTTGGATTATGCTCTTGTGGGCGCTTTTCTGACAATATCTTGGACGTTCTTAGGAAGCACGGTGCGCATTTCGAGAAGCACAAGGCCGCCTTCGAAGAGGGTGCAGGACGGGACGATGCCCTATTCGATGACGAAGTACCACCAGCAGCGAGAGAGCAACGGTCGTTGGACGAAAAGGTGAGGCCGAGTGTTGAGAAGGTGTAGGTTGCCACTCCCCATGATAAACTGTAACGATTCGTGATGATTATTCGTTTTTTACGACTTTTGTACGATCGATTCATTACGATTGATGATTGACTCAAACTCCGTGTTCACAAAAGAGAAATTCGTGGAGGAACGTAGCCTGTCCCCGATATCGTTGGATCGGGCAAGTACATGGAGAACAAAAGGTTGATGGTAGTAAGGTTCAAACCGAAGAATGAGGATGAAAAAACAATGTTATACCCTCACCACCGCTGATCAAGGTAACAAGACCATTAATACGTTGAGTGGTATGAGATACTCTCTTCCCATCTCTCCTAGCATGTAGCACTCGCTTGCCATGCCCGACGTCGGTGTCCCCTGCTCCCAAAATGCCCCATCAGGATGATGTGGGTCAACACCAATGCTTTTGGCCTCGCTACGGTGGAGGTAGAATAGGAGCTTCCAAAAGTCGTGAGTTTCTGAGTATTGAGGAGCATACAACCTCACAACAGGTATGTTGATCCTTCACATCTTAACCAGTCTAGTCTAAGTGCGGCTAACAATAATTTCACTATCTCCACACTCCCCAGTCTCCTCACCTCCCTTCCCTACAAGTCAATCCCTATCAATCCCTAATGCCCTTCTACACATTCTCTTTGGCTCTCTCGTCGAGCTTATACGCTGGCTTTTTTGGCTAACGAGGAAGCTATCCATTTCAATTTCAACTTCGCTCCAATGGGAACGGAAATTGGGCTGAGAAAGTGTCTCATTACCATGCGATTTTAACTTCGGCCGAGGCCGTTGGTGTACTGCTGACTACGGTCGTCGAGCCTCAGCTGCTCGTGAGACACGGGGTATTGATATCTGTCGGAGACGTGTCGGCGGGGGAAGGCGTTGGGCCCGGTGTTGGATACGAATGTCCATGCCCATTCAACTTCACCTGTCGATGCTCAGCAACTGGGACCGTCACTGAACAAGAACACAAATTCAGTCTTCAAGGAATGTTGCACATCTCCCTTGTTCATTAGCTTGTAGCTTATCTTCGTCATGCCCAGCACTTCCCTAACA